TTTAGTCACAGCTAATTGTTAACTAAAACACAAGAGGCGCGTGGAATGAGTGATTGTTGAACGAAAACATCTCATTCATAACGATACAGAAGATCAATTAACACACGTAATGGTACTTTCGAAACGAATTCACAAAATTTCTAACGTTTTAACATGGCTAATTATAAAGAAATATGCATGGGAAATATTCAACTTAATAGATGCTCTAAATTATACAGGGTGACTGGTGAATTACTATCGATATTTGAGGACGTGATATTCGACGATCATATATGACAAAATAAAAATTAATATAACATAAATATTAATAAACTTCTAAGTAAAGTTAACCAAAAGTTGTGTAATTAATTACGCATCGTGTGAACACCCTACAGATTAGGTATACACTGACACTCACACATACGCGTGTCGTGACGTAGTTTTGTATCAGCACGCGTCCACACTTGAACACTTGGAACGTGTCAACACTTTACTTATTTATACGGAAATTTTGTCAAAAATTAAGTGCCTATTTTTTTTACATAATTCGAATGAGAATCATGTACCGAGTATTCTCCTTAAATATTGATAGTAATTCACCAGTCACCCTGTATATTGTGTATTGGCGTATTCTATACTCCATATAAATGTCTATTTTCAAATACGTTATTTGTAAATTTTGCGGTTAATTTATTTATATATATGTATATGTGTATTTGTGTGTGTGTGCAATTAATAATAATTTTAAGATAACATTATTCATTATGTCTTTAATGACTGAGGATATTTCAGTTGTTTAATTATTATTAATACAACGACGCTTAATCGATAAATTAAATTAGTTCTATATTATTACATAATTTATAACTACTTCTGTATCTTCTATTATTTTCACGACAGTTGACAATATTTCATTATAATATCATTTAGTAATGTTTTTTTTATCAATCTTTGTACCGTATTACACACATAACTAATTTAAAAAAATACTTAAAACTTCAACTGTAAAAGGGTCTTAGAGGCATTTTAAGCGAAAATAGAGCTTATATCAGTAGATATAGCAAACATATTTTTTATAAAATATTAATTCGTAACTACCAAAGAGTTTATATATTATAAAAATATTTGAAAAATTGTAATTTTTAGAGGTATTACACGAGAAAGATTAAATAAAATGGTACATGTATGAAAATCGTTAATTCAGTTTATACTTCATATAATATTTTTATCTTAATGAAGTGCAAATATTTTGTTGGATCTGATGTCTCTGTACTGAAGAATATTTAAATTCCATTTATTTTCTTGTTATATTTTCTTATTTTATCTTCTTCTACTTGGCAATTTCCCAGCTTTAGCCAGGGTCTGCCTTACATGTTGTGAAGAGTTTTGGCTAATAGTTTTTACGACCGGCCGCCTGCCCGACATCAACTCTCTTTTTGGGAATGCATTAATCAGTGATGTCTAATTCCTCTTAGAAAGTAAATATGACTCGGTAAAATCACATTTGTACTTGCCCGGGCCAGGATCGAACCCGCGCCCTCATGCATGAGAGGCGGGCCTGTTAACCACTAGGCCACCACTGCCCATATATTTTTTTATTTTATATTACAATTATTATTTCATGATACAACTTTTTTTAACAATTATGACTTTCTATATAATTATAATAATTATTTTTTATATTCATTTCATTATTTCCTTGTTATTAAAATAAGTGTAAAATGAACACTACATGATGCTAAAGGCGTTATGAGTCATGGATTTCATTTGTTTTTTATATTTTTTAGAATTATTTTACGAGATATAAAGATTCAGTTGATTGAATTACTTGGAAGATATTGTGTTTATATTAGGTATTTGAATTTAATTTATATTTGTATTTAAAGTAGTCTAAAGGTAATTAATTTTTATTTCTCAAGCCCTCAGACGTTTACAAGGGGTTCTTTTTATTGAATCATTTAAATTATCATGTAAGGAGTAGAACGCACGTTGGATGTACACCGATGAATTGTACACCGGTTCTATTTGCTCTTTGTTAAAATGACAATAAAAATTCTCAATTCGATACGTGGCCGCATTCATGAAGCTATATCGCCCGTATAATGGATACCTATTACATATTAATAGAAAAAAATGAAAAGTAATCTGAAGTATTGAGACATCGATTGTGTGCATTTTAATATAACTTTATATAGGACTGATGCCATTGATTGGATTCTCACCTCGTCCTCAATATCTAGATGCATGCGAGCATATATTTTTTTATCTTGTACTTGAGGCTAACAAGAATATCTCTAGTTGTACATATCGGGTAAGACATATTTTTTATCAATAGAATGACATCCTTGTGTCTTTATATTATGTTTATATCTCGAGTGTTCAGAACGGTTTTGCATCTGGTTTTAAAGTTTCAAGGTTTGCTTGTAATGTAATTATTTAAGAATTAATATATGTTTAAAGAAATATCAAGGTGCTACTTGATAAAGTTGTATTTGTTTGATATTCTAGTTGTATGTGGTTTTTATTTTAATGTAGCTTTATTTGATTTTTTTTTTATTAAGGAAAATGGAAAAAAATAACGATAATAACAAAATCTTGCATCGTCGCGCATCGGTTGAATGACGTGAAATGAAATTAAATATTTTACGATAGCGTTTTTATCTACTTAAATTTATATAGGTATAGGGATTTATTCATAGTGAACTTGAAAATATTTTGTTGAAAAATAAAAGCATTATTTGAATATCAATAATTATATTGTCGCAGTAATTTTGTATTCAGAAACGTTGTTTTTCTATGAATCTTCACAGTTAATTTATGAAAGTCTAAATTAATGAATGACTGAGTAATAAATCGGGATGAAAAATATCGACAAACAGCTGAGAATCCCTGCGGGAATCAAATATAATGTATAAAAAATGTTATAGAGTTAAGGCAAATTGTTGTTAAAAATAAAAAGGTAACGATTTATTTCAAAATTTTCCCCGCTGACGAAGCCAAAACATCGTTTATCGTAAAAAATATGACAGTGTTTGAGTTATCACCGCTCATGTGACATCGACACTTTAAGTCCGCTTATCAATGTTATCGTTCTTATCAGTGTAACTTCTATTTATATTGAAGTAACGTAAAAATAAAATCGCTACCGCTTCAGAATTTATGCAATTATCTATGCATATCTTTATACGTTATGCAGACAGCACGTCGACCGAATAATTACTGGATGTACGTAATCATATTATTATTAAAAATATTTATTCTTATTTTTAAGTAACTATTTCCCTATTCGCAACTTCTGCCTAGAGATTAAAAGAGTTAATGTTTGAAACTAATTACCGTTTCCCTAAATATCAGACTTTAAAATGACGTGTCATACGTATTTTTTTAACTTTTTATGTCGTAGATGGAAAGATGTTTGAAGTAACTTAATGTAATGTCATTGTGATTCGTGTGATTGTTAAAAGATTTTCCTTCCTCAGACCTCATTAAAAGTAATACGGAACCAACAAAAGAATACAGTATAGTCGTAGAATAATGAAAAATCATAACCCTCCCCTTTTAGTGTCAGTCGGAAAGTATTATGTGATATATACGAAATAGATAAAATAAATTGGTATAATAAATATCACAAATAAATTAATGTCGTGGAAAATTTAAAATAATTCTGTATATCAGAACGGGAACTGGCAACAATACCGTAAACTGTTCTAGATTTCAAAATATGACCGATGATAGAATTTCAAGTGGATTTGTCATCTTATAAAAAACTGAAGTGTCGATAAAAAAACACCACAATTCTCAGTTTGCAAACCGCGAAGGCATCTAATGCCGAGTAAACAAAGATATCAGTAACAAAGGCTACGTAACCATTGTTACAAAAACAAATCTCCGTCGAGAATAGACGTCTCATAAACAATATCGGATTTCATTTCAGCTCGTTCGTAATTTATATCATAAACAAAACCTTATACGGAATATTTTATCAACTCATTATAAAGAGTTACTTTTGAAGAATTTTCTGTATTACTAAGGCCAAATTGTGAATGTTGTTAATCTTTAACACAAAAACAGATGAACAGTCATTTGCGAATCTAACATATGATTAAGGGAATTAAATTCATTATAACAATTCATGATTATTACAATTTACAACTAACACAGTAGTCGTAACAACTGGTAGCTGTATTGCTCAGATTTATATAATTTATTAAAATTTATTTGGCCGTTCTATCTCAATTAGTTATGTTTAATATCGATCGTGCGTCGCTTGATTGAACCACGCTGCTAAATAATAAACTAGCATTCGCTCCGATGATTTAGTATTGCCAGGGAACACGATTCCTGTCACAACTACTATCTATTTTGCTCCAATTAATTTTACATTTGATGAATATCTTGATGCAGTTTCAGCTGCGCAATGTTAAGAGTTTTTTTTATTATAAATTCTTTGTAGCATTTTAATAGTATCTATTATATAGTGCAAATATAAGAAAAATATATTGTGTGTAGGAATTTAAGATTACTCTTAACTTTAACTTTATTTTTGATGACCCGGAGTGGGTTAACGTTGCAAAACTTTAACGGAAATGTGTAATTTGTTGCGACAGTTTCCTATGTGTCTACTTAAACCTTATTTAGAAGCTGGATCCCTGGTTTACTCGTGTTTCCAGTCCCTCTAATAAGGTTTAGTCTGGTACATTTACGGCTTCTACGGAATGTTCAATCAACTGATCGTATTAAAGAAATATTTATAAGTTTAGATCAAAAATTGTAATTTTGTAATCAGTATCCACCCTAATTTTTCCACGTACTCACTTAAATTAAGCGTTTTCGGATTTCATTCTCCGTTATAGTGCAGTAACCATGACCATGAGATAAAACTGTCTAGTCTTCATATTTATTTTTTTGTAAAGTTGTTAATAGTATACTGTGCACGACTTTGCACGGATGAAGGCCATATTTAAAACAACCAACCAAATTTTAATGGAATTCTAGGTGATGTATGTATGTCTGTGTTTCAGACGACAGGCGCGGACAGTGCGAGCGGCGGCTCAGGCGGGTCTGGTATGGAGTGCCTCCAACTACGATCACCTCCCGGACCAGCATTCCACTACCTCATCTCGGAGCAGGCTAAGTCTCTCGTCGCCTTACAGGTGATTGATGATATTTTACTCGTACACTGAATAGTGACGATATCTTACTGGCTTAACTTCGCTTCTGTCAATATTGTGTCATTCAGAAAGCTTGTGATGAATATTTTAAACTAGATTACTTTTATTCTCACACTTTGGAATGTAATGTAATACAATTTGGAATGTTAAGAACAAAACCAATAATCTATAGGAACTCCAGAATGAGGTCGGGGCCCTGTTGGAGTTCCGTGATCTCGTCATCGAGACGTTCCCCAACCTTCGGTCCAAGATGGCGCCGTCGACGCCGGCCAGTGGCACGCGTCGAGACTGGGAGCCAGGGGTCCGCGTGCGGCGGAAACTGGCCGCTGGGGGAGGAGAGCCAAGGACGAAGCCCCAGCCCTCCGTACAAGATTCGGGCTTTAGCACAGAAACCTCCTGCAAGGACGCGCACTCGGCCGCCGCGGCCCGCCCGCGACCGCTAGAAGACGAACTATGGGCCTTACTAGATGTGATACAACGAAAAGGCGTCCGGCTTAGAGACGAAGCGGAACTCTTGAGAGGGGAACTGGATGAAAAGCATTCGGAAACAGCCGAGGAATCATTCGCCAGAGCGTTATCTACAAGCGATTGTACGGATGTCGTGCGGCTGAGGAGCGAGCGGGACGCTCTATTAGCACACGCCGCACATTTAGAAGCGGAGGCGGAAGCGGGAGCGGGAACGACGAGTCCAGTGTGCACTCCACTAGGCCGCCTGGATCGAGCTCTGGCCACGCCCGCTCGCACGCCGCGTGTGACCACACCCGACTCAAAGAAGTTTGCAGCGATTCTCCAAGAGAGCAATCCCGTAGAACTTCGCCGTCATCTTCTCATATCCACGGTACAGAATCAGGTAAATGTGAATTACAATAAATAACAGACATAAATGGACGTGTTTAAAATTTTCTCTATACAATTGCGTTGCGCAATCAGTTGGCTATTTAAATCTTACAAATCACAGAAGTCATAAATGGTTATTTTACAAGTCATTCTATTATATCACAAATTAAAATATATATAATATTTTAAACTGAACATATTGATGAGTCATTTAGTGTTCAATTGCACAATTTCACCGAGTTATCGACTTTCTCTGTACAACAGTGCGACAACTCCGCGACACGTACTCGATACTTAAATCTCACAATAGTCTATAATATGAGATGTAACTCAATAAAATTAACATTCAGAGACATTGTTAGTGATTCAAATCGTTTTTAATATGTAATGATCGCGATAATGGCGATAATTTATGTGAGGTGTTTTGTTTTCTCTAGTATTTTAATCGCATGAAGTATTTCGTAACAACGCTGTATTACAAATAAATAATTCCCCGCAATTCTTTCGACTGTATGTGGTAACTTGGCACCTGCAATTTAGAGACAAAACCTTCGCTAACGACCTCTAGTGACGTAACTGTTTCAACAGAATACAACAGAAGTCACTTAACACTCGTATATTTAAAGCAAAGCAATGAAAAATATAGCCCATTCATGATAGATATTTCTATTTTGTATTAACACTTTAAATATAAACACCTCAGTGAATGCCCTTTGTATGTTCGACGTGTTTTGAATTATTCATAATTTCTCATTAATCTGAGGTCAATCGTATTATTGTTTGTTTATAGTCTCTGTTTAAGTTTTCATTTGTTGTCTTTATAAAGATTATACATTTTATTTATAAATGTAATGAAATAGTTTGTTTGTCATATCAAATAAGTACACATTTTTAAAGTCTATCTTCCTCTTATATATATGTATATATCTTAAATATTCTTTACAAATTACCAGCAAAATAATTAGCTTCTGGACCAGATATACATATACACATGTATAAACATAATAGTTGATTCTGAATAATTCAAACAAAACCGTGAGCAACAATCAGTACAAACTAATAAACCAGAAACATATTGTATTGCTCGAGGTCAAGATATACTGGTTGATATAAAGGTATCATATTTAAGTACGCGACGAAAGTTCCATATTAACATATTCTAAGAGAAACGCTCTATAAATTGATAGACAAATCAAACACGTGGTAACATAGCGGTATTTTCGGAAAAGTTATGTAAACGTAAGGTTAATAAATATACTCTAAAGAATATAATAATATTTCCAGGTGTTCAGTGACCAGTTACGGCGCGCCTCTTCCCAGCGGAACGCTCTACTAGAACAACTGAAACTAGTCGGAGATGAGAACGAGGACCTTAAATTCAGGGTAATTCATATATATACCTTATATTTAATATTATAAGATGGTCTTATATAACGCTTGTCAAGTTTCTTTAATTATTGTACCGAGATAACAATAGCAATTATTATATTATAATAGGGGCGTGTGGCTAATGATATCATTATTATAATGAATAAATAAACTATTAAAATAAATTATAAATAAAATGATTAAAAAAACTTCAACAAGACTTGATGTACGATGACGATATAATTAGTACATATTATGTAATGTAATATGTAAACTGACAAAACACGATCAGTTGATAAAAATAAAAATAAACTTTATTGACTACAAGGATTACATAACAATCGAGTTGCAAGGGCCTCTGTACTAGGTGCAAACCCGTATTGATAGAAACTTAATATTATGTTGTATGACGTTTCAGCTCGAGGAGAAATGTATTGAACTGGAGGGAGCCCGGGCTCGGGTTCGTCAGTTAGAGGCTCAGGGCGTTAGTGCTGATAGAAGCAGCATGAGGGACCTGCAGCCAGTGATGCTGCCAGACGAGCCGGGGCTGTCCGAGACCCCACGACAGCGGCCGAGTCGCATCCCGCGTCATAAGGCCGCGGCCCCCAGGCCCCCCACCGGCGGGGGCACCTCTACAAGCGGGGGGCCCGGCGTGTCCCGGCCGCCGTCCTCTCACTCGGTCCGCTCGAGCCGCTCGGCGACCTCATACCGCAGCCGCCAGCCGTCGTCGGGAGGCCCCGCCGCGCCAGGCCCCCGTAAAGACAAATCCTCAGTCCCCGTTCGCCGCTCGCCCTCTCACGACCCCAAGGTTCGCGGCGGCAGATCCTTCTGGAACACGTGGTTCACGTTCAAGGACACCTAGCGTCCTCACACAAAAACCTAAATGTACTAATACTCGATACGAACGGAGTTTTTACATGCCATTATGTCGATAGTAAGTTTTGAGTACAGTTCAGTTTATTTCTTCGTATGAGTTCAGTTCAGTTAGTTCGTTTTGTTGTTTTTATTATTATTTTCTGAACCGAAGTCTTAGTAGCATGTCACTAACGTTAACTAATATCACCGTGTGTAACATTGTTTAAAGCGCCATCTATTGTATAAGATACTGAGTCAAGTTCATACTACTGGTGGATTGAGTCTTTTTGTTCTTACTCTAATATAAATCTTATTTCAAGGGGACTTCATTAATTAGTTTACATTATTTTTATTTTCAGTTGAGTCCCCCGTGCGACAACTTTATGTGGTATGGGTCTTATTTCATTTTTATTTCCTAACCTGTAGTTTGAGATGTCACATTGTATTTTGTTTGTAATACATAATATACTTCTGTTACTATGTTCATTATCGTTGCTTTCTAACAAAACTAAATGAATTGGTTTTAAATTTGCATGCTTTTTCAAAAATCTTTTCATTGATTGTACCTTAAAAATTTATTGTCCAAATTCTAAATATCCTTGTTTTAAATTATCGGTAAGTACTGTAACTACACAAACTGCCACATCACAGAGCACACTATTGAAGTTGAAATAATGCCATCTTCATAACTTTCATATGTAAGAAAAAGATAGCATGATGTGAACACTTGTCCTAACTTGTAGAATATTATGTTGAACGTACCTTCAGTAGATAGATGTTTTGTTTCATTAATTTATTTTAATTTTATTTATTTTTTATTACAACTGTAATTGACATAGTGGCATAACGGCATTTATTGGCAAATCACAAAGCAAACGCTAAAAATGCACTGTTGATGTAGTCACAAGTAAACAATATAAAGAAAAGATTGACACGAATTAACCATAAGAATTGTCATATAATTGTATATTGTAATATGTAAACTGTCTCCAAAACATTTTAAATTCATTTTGTTGGTTACGTAGACTATTAAAAAAAATACTTATTAAATATCTGCTACCTACGTTGGTACACAATTGTGAGACAGGGAAAAGCATAATAAATTATTATATACATTTAAATTTTATTACATGTGACACCTTTATACTTTTGGCTGTTTGTTTGAGAGTTGGCGTTTGAGTGATGCTCTAGCCTCTATAGAATATTTAGAAAAAAGGTTTTACAATGATCTATAAAAAAAAATTATACATTGATTTTAAAATAATGTGAAAAAAAATTGCTCTTTACAGAATTTGGTGGCAGCATAATAATTTTAATTATAATGTGTTCCAAACAACATACGATGTTTAATACATTTATTTTATTAAACATATAATCTTCTTTTTTGTTTAATGATCAAGTACAATTGTCCATTTAATTGTCCAATCACACCGTTCCCCCGTATTTAGTGTAAATATCAATCGATAGCACTAACCGTAACATCATATTGCTGGAGGCATGACGTTTAACGAATCCTATAGGACTTATATATAAATTAAACATCTTTACAGACGCTGTGGACGGAAAGTGCGCGGGCGTCGCTAGTGTTGGAATACGTAGCTCGGACCGAGCGGCTCGCCACATTGGCGCCACGTCTCGCCACACTGGCGCCGCCACTCGCCACACGGGCTCCTCTACCCGGGCCTACACTGCCCCGTACGAGGCCCCTACCAGCCGACGTCGAACTCGACTACCGCCTAGCTTATACTCCGCCTCAGAACCTAGCACTGGAACTCACAAGGTCCATCCTATACGAAAACGCGGACTCCATAGAAATCAAACTCAAGTCACTCAACGAAGATTCGCTGTGGAACGGAAAACCACAGAAATACTTCGAGAGCTTGAACTATGATGATGATTCCAAAGACTTTGAGGACGATTCCTTAGCTTGATACACACTTTATAGTTAGAGGGTGTTATATGTTGATAGTAACTAACAGTTTACATTCCGTGCGAATTATGAATGTGTAGACAATGTGAACTATACGGCGGCTGTTAGAGATGTTAATAAGTATAGTTTATAGTGATTGTGGTTACGAGGTGTGCTACTTACAGGTATATGGATGCTACGAAGTGTTTCAAATTAGTCAAATGTTAACTAACTCCAAAATGATTCCTATATTCAGCTTGCTATGTTCTCTGTCTCTTTAGTTTGAATAGATTCCTTTGAAAAAAAAATTATATCTGTGATAATTTCACATTTAATGTCATGAATTGATTAAATATTTATTCGACATCATTATTTCATTCAAAAATTTAGTATAAGAATTATTATATACCATTGTACATTTCCTAGTTAATATTTTACATGTATTGAAAAAAAAAACTTTTTTTATGAAAGCGATTTAAATGAAATATATTATTTCCTCATTTTAATGTTGGCTGATGGTTTTAAAAATATATGTATGGATTTAACTAATCGGTAGCTGTAATATTGATTATCATTCAATGGCCAGATTGTAAATGTTAATAGAGTGAGAGTAAAACGACTTAGCGAGGCTGTGATGAGGATTTGGCCGGTTTTATTAAAGAAAATTGTTAAATATTTAATATATATATACTATGTAATGTAATATTCCATATATATATTAAGTGTATGTTGTATTCGTGTATCTTTCGCTGTTACGAACGCGTGTGAACTTTCACGTCCATTACCTAACGTCCTGTACTGCCTTTAAGTTAATATCTTGACGTTAAAGTGCTTTGTATATTGTTTACAGGCTTACAAAGTAGGAGACTGATTTTGTATAAAGACATAGTGTTGTGTATGTTTGTTTATTGTAATATTGAATGTTATTCTGCGGTTTTCTTAATTGTAATAGGTGGTGTATTCCGATTCTATAGGACTGTATTTAATGTAATTAATTATACATAATATTATAATAAAATAGTTTAACATGTACAGCTTCCATTCACGCTACTAGTTGTTGTAAAATATTAAGCCACTATCTAATTACTATAAGGATACTCTTAAAATATCTAGTTGACTTGAATCTAGTTGGACCTGTGTAAAGTTGTACAGAAATCATATCATTATAATTATATACAAATTACTCATAAATTGTTCATATCAAAATATATTCGTATTATTTAAAATACACCCTTTTTAATAACTAAATAATTAATACAAAGTTTTGTTTAAATTGGAAAATAATACAGGTATTATAATAGAAAACATATATTTCAAATTAAACAACAAACCTGAGAATAATTGAATAGTATTAAATTATAAATCATTCAATGTTATAGTAGGTATAAACATTAATCGCGTATTATTTTACTTCCCAGAGTAATATCTTTTATCTCATAAGTTTCAGCATCTTTGTAAATTCTTATAAAACCATGTTGTTTTAATTCTAAAACAAAGGAAATAAATTTTACAACCATATTAAGAAATAATCCTAATATTAAAGTATTAACAAATTTATATAAATATATTGGAGTTAACTTACTCAGTATAGAATTGAAGCATCTAGCAACTATGACCCGTTTGTAACCCGAGATCAATGGTCCGGAAGAAATAAGCAGATCTACATTAACTGGTTTCACTCCAGATTTTATAAATTTGTATATCTTATGCATAGTTCCTTGCGTTCCCCATTCCTCACTATGAATATAAATATGTATTAAAAAGTTAATCAAAGTAATTTCTACAAAATGTACCTTTTTTTTTTCTTCTTAGATATTGCTTTAGTATAGTAAAATAGATAATAATCCAATTAATATTATAATTGCGAAAGTTTGCGAATGTGTGTATATTTGTTACTTCACGCTCAAACGGCTGAACCGATTTTGATAAAATTTTGTATACAGGAATCTGACGTCCAGGAATAACACATAGGCTACTTTACATCCCGGAAATCCGCGGGGCGTAGCAAGTATATATATTACCGTATAAATCTCTTAGAGTCCGTAGTTTTTTCTGATTCTCCAAGAGACACCTTAGTTCTGTCCAAGCTACCAAGCGGTGTCTCTGATGTATAACTGTTTGTTTTCCTAATCTCTATGTTTCCTTGTTCTTCTGAGTCAGCGAGCCCTTCTTTATGTAAGAGCGCAGTTAGACGACTTTTTTGTACTGAACCTGGTACATTTTCATCGTCTGCTACTAAAATATTATTTAATATTATATTTTTAGTATATAAAATCGACTCTTATATATTTTTATATACCCACCAGCTGTAGGCAAAGTGGTCGATTGCTGAGTATCACGAAAAGTTATATATCCGCTTCTACGTTTCTTTGGCTGGAAATTTAAATAAAATTAATTAATTAATGTGTGTAAATAATCTTGATAATATTAAAGTTTTATGTAAAACCAACCGATCTCTGTTCGTCACTAACTCGTTTCTCTCCACTCGATATTTCTTTTAACTTCTGTGTTGGTAAGTCAGCGACATCTATCGGTTCGTATATTTGTATGTCCGGTGCTTGTATGTTTGTTTGTGGAACATCCATTTCCTTGGACACCTCAATCTGTAACTGTTCCCCCGCGGATGTGTCGACTTCCTGCGGCTCTTCTATATTGTACGTTGTGGTCCACATTTCAAAGCGTTGTTCTTTGTGAAGAATTTCTTCCTTTAAAATGTAGGAAAAATTAGATCGAAACTGTTATGATTATGAAGCTGGTAAATATTTAATATAATTTTTCATAAAGATACATTTGAGAAGAGTTCAAAATTTTAAAATTTTCCATAATGCTAATAAACATATTGAATAAATAACTTGTATGACAAGCTTTCCATAGTTATGATATCTATTACAACATCGATCCATATCGTCATACTCATATTGTCATACCCATCCCATATTATCCATATCCATCCCATCCCACTATATCCATCTATTCTTCCTACCTGTGTTCGTTCTATTTTTTTCAAGTATCGTGCGAGTGTCCGTCCCACTTCTCTCATAGGTCTTGATAACAACGCCTGAGCAGTCGGTAACAAACTGATAATATCCTTAGAATCCTGAAAAAACATTCAGAAATATTATGTAAATAAAGTTTCATATATATCAAAGGATAGCTAGCCACTAGCTTATTGTGTCAAAGTATTTCGAACGTTCTCAAATCTCGAAACTTACAAATAACTGTATGGTTTAAACATAATTAAGACATGATCTAAGTAAATCACTGCGCAAGGGTTATAATAAAACATTCAAATAAAATACATTTTGAAATGTTTAGTAGTCATACTATATATAGTAATAAATTTTGGTATATTTAATAATGAGTTAGAAAATAGTTTTTAACTCACCTCACAACGTAGTTCAACGTAAATATTATCTATCCGTGAACGTATATAATCCGAGGTGAGTTTAATTTTCTTGTCAATTATAAGTTTGTTTCTTAGTTTACGTCTTTTCGTCCGCGGCTCCTCTTTCAGTTCCTAACAATGAAACAAATCTTAACCTACATATGACTAGTGACAAGTGAAATTAAAGTATCATTTTATTTATATACCCACATATATTTCAATATTCATACCTTTGATTCTGTTTTTTAATATAATAGTTTGTTTTTACCTCAAGAACTATTCCATCAGTCTCAACTCTTGATTTCTTACTTCGTTTAATTACTTCCTTTTCTTTAACATTATCTATTCCAAGTTTTGTTCTGGAATTTTATGGATGGAATGAAAGTTAATAAAAAAAACATACAAAATGTGATTTACTGAAAAACATTTAAATTATTTGTGGTTGTTGTTCATATAGCTATTTTACTTGTTAACCAATTGTTAACTATATCATTAGTTAACTATGTATTTGTTAACTAACTTATCTGTGTGAGGATCGGGATGCGGAAGGTCGGGGATTTCAGGGATTTCTGTGACAAAATTATTAATTATTTAAGGAAGGAATACATTTACAGGTATATTAAGACTGATAACAATTTACTACCTTTATCGAAGTCTCCAATATGCATAGCTTCCGTCATAGCTGGTAAGAAAATTAATTCATAAATTTCATATACTTTGCTTAATAAATATGTAAATCGAAGTAAATGTAAAATAACTTACATTTACCGAACACAGACACGTCGTGTTCAGACAGTCTTTCCATCTGTGCTTCGTGTTGAATGAGTCTGGATTTGTCGTGCGATTTTTCGGTTGAAAAATCGAGTGGCAAATCTAGGACGCTATGTTGCGCCTGATTGTCTGGAAACATCAGCATCTCTAAACTCCTTTCACCCATCATTTGTAATGCTTGATCGGGATTCAGTTCGCCAAAACCATCCTATTATAGAATAATATATATTGTACATATCTGCTATATGGAACAATTTTATTTATTATTGTTTAAAATAACCTACATCTAATAAAATCCTATTTTCAAGCAGCGTTGGCTCTTTCAAAGTTATGTCTTCTACACGAGCCACAATATTATCGCTATTCTATAAAATAAACACACAAATTAATATATATAATACAATTTATATAGGTATACTTATGTAAAAAAAGAAATAATGAAATGAAACCTGGATTTTTTCTTCCACAGCTTCCTCGTCGGGCTGAATCTCGAAGATAAGTGGAGGCAACTGGGGTCTTTTGACGACGTGTTCACTTGGCTCAAAGATAGATCTGCAAAAATAAAATATTTGTATAATATATCAGATCAAGCAGTACTTGTGTATGTAAATAAGTCAAAATTACGATTAATATGACCTTAATTAATAACGGCACTTACTTTTTGTGAGTAGTTTTCATTACATGAGCATTTATCATGCAGAGATCTCCTAAAAGCATAAAAAACAATTTCAAATAACTTTACTCGTACATTTGAATGTTATGTATTAATTTAATAGTTTTAACGCACCAACAAACACGGTAACTTTCCTTTGATAAAGCCGAACAAGACCGCGCAAGAGTTGCGAACTGAGTCGCAGCGAAAATCTATTCGTGGGTCGACCGGACTCATTTTTCATAACTTCGAGCAAGTCATTACTAAAAATATTTTATTATGTACAATTTTAGTTTCTTCCATTATTCATATTTCATAAACAAGTAAACTTGTAAAATCGTACCATATTTGTCGTATGTCTTGCGCCCAAAGCTGACGGTGAGTTATTGTAGCAAAACGCAATGGCCATGAATCTGCGACCCAACACAAATAAAATCTTCCACCTCTACGTAATGACTCCACTGGATAAAACATTTTTCCTTTTAAATACGTTGCGGACAGTAGCTGTTAAACACGACGCTATGTTTCTCAATTTTCGCGCCTTATTTTACTAAACACTGTACTGAGTCACGTGATATTCTGTTCAGAAATGTGTAGTTTTAAACAATAGAATTTAAATTTGGTAGTTAACCTTGTTCTGTATAATTATTTTGAAAATATAATTTGTAAGTAATAACATTTAACAATATTTAAAATTTGAATTATTTTTAACGTTGAATTTTATATGGTTATCTCAAACTCAAATAACTTTATTCAATATACATAGAAGCATTACACTTTCTTATTGATGGTCACTTGAGACTACCACCGGTTCGGAAAAGAAAATACCCTGACCTGAGAAGAACCGGAGAAAAAAACTCAGCGGGTTTTTTTTTATATATTTGTCTCATATATTATATACACAATTTAATATGAGATGAAATAGCCAGGAGGCGATCGTTTCATTCCCAAGGTGTGCTATCGATCATAAACTCATTAATTGTATAGTCACCTTTTGCACACAAGCGTTCCTTAATAATGTTTTTAAATTTAGCAACAGAGGCATTTTGAACGCTTTCTGGGATCCTGTTGTAAAACCGTATACATCGCCCCACAAAGGAGTTACTGACTCTATGTAGTCGAGTAACAGGAGTAACAAGTTTATGTTTGTTCCCTGTACCAATGCTATGAGTATCACATTTTCTCATGAAATCATTAATATTTTTTCGTACATACATAACATTGCAGAATATATATGTATATATATCTTCTGTGTATCTGATTCTCGATAAGATCGTATTTGTTCTAGTAAATTTTTTTTGAATATTGCAGCAACAATTAGAAAATATTCATTGATAAACTGTGTACAATTATAAAATGAACAAAGATTTTTTTTTACCATCTATCTATTCGAAATATTTAACTGGCTGAAAATAAATATTTTTAAACGTAAAGTAAAAATATATTATAATATTTGTAAACATTAAAACATATTTAAAGGAGTAATTGTTTTTATTTTTTGTATTAAGCATAGAAATAAAACAAAAAGTTATTAACTATAATTTATTAAATCTAATTTAATAGCTACATCAATCATTCAGCAATACTTTTGTTTTGTAAAATGTTACATACTTTTCAAACATTGCACATCTTTTTCACATATACATGAAAGTTTTTTCCAATTATGAAATGAGTGCAAAAACTATGGTAGTACATTTTTAGTTCTATGTCCAATAAGTAATCAAACGCACAATATAATATTTGGTTATCAGTTTTACACTTTAATAAATCGTGTAACAATTTTGTTACAATATTATATAGAATACTCGAATTTTTGTCCAGAACTTTCCATCAAATCCTTTAATTTACGTAAACTTGATTGATTTAAGTGATCCAATTGTAAACCATTGTTCAAAGCCATTTCTAGAGTCTTCTTAGCTTCGCTGATGTTATTATCGGTTAGGTGTAAATTTATCAATCTAGAATAAGCGTTTCCCACTGAAGTCGGGGAAATATTGTTATTGGATTCCAATTTTTTTATCATTTTGATTATCAGCTGCGGATCTTTACGGACGTGTGCCTCTTGGAGCAGTCTTCTGAACACAATAGTGCCACTGTTATGTAGACATTTGTTCCATAGAGCGTCTGCTTCATTATCTTTACCGGCCAATAGATATTCCATCCACAATAGATTAGCAGGTAACGGATATCCTTTGGATGCAGCGATTTCAACGACAGTATTGCCTGGAAAATAAAAAGATCATTGAATAATTTATTAATTATTTTTAGTATCATCAAAAAAAAATATATATATATATATATATGTATAGATAATGATACAAACACTTAGACACAAGTTCTTCATTTGTGATGCAGCTAGCCAAAGCATTGCTTCTCGGGAAAGATCTAAGGGCAGCTTCAAGTTCAGTATCGTTTGCTGCTGAGTTCACAGCATTCAATACAGTTTCTATATGAGCCGAGCCGCCTCCTTGCTTGAATATCGCTAATGTTAATTTATCATCAAAGGTAACCTTGCGACGTTTCGATTCACCTAAATAATTCCCTATGGCCTTAATTCTTTCCACATCCCCCTCGTCAGCCAGTTTTCTTAATAGGAATTTGAGTATGTTTGATTTTGGGAAAACACCATCCTCCATTGATTTAAGAGCGAGTTCTGTAGCCGATGAAAGTTTTTCTTCTTTTGTTAATTGTTCAACTTGATCCGTAATTGTTTGCTTGGGTACAGCTTTTTTGATATCTTGATCCTTTTTAGTTTCATTTTCTTTTTGCACTTGAACCTTTGGTTTTTGACTTTGCATTTTCTTCTCTGGCATTACAAATGGCACTTCTCTGTTTTTGGATATCAGATGACTACCAAGGAGTGTAAGGAATTTCTCGCTAGGAATTTCACCTTCTTCTTGCAATAGCGTCCAAAGTCCCAAAGCTTTATCTGTTTCATCCGCTTTACAATATGTTACTAATAACTGATAGAAAATGTTTGAACGGTCAATATGTGATAATTCTTTTGTAGCTTCAAGTAATCCTTCCAAGTATTCAGATTTGCCTTCCTGTAATTAAATTTATTGTTTATGTGCAAAAAGGAATATTTGGTTTCACGTGACCAATACTTTCATTCTATATACAATTAAAATTAATCAAATTTTTCAAGATTTATCTTATTTATGAACATAATTACCTCAACATATCTTTGGCAGGCATCTTGTAATCTTTTTTGTCGTGTATGTAAGCCAGGAGTTTCAAGTATACGTCTTGCTTGTCTGAGCCGACCACATTCCACAAAAGCCAACACTAAATCATGTAAGATATTAACTTCGCCGTGAATCTGAAACAATACAGAGTTATTAAATTCATACATCATTAATAATAATTAGGTGATTTGAGTTGGTTTTTAGAGCTATTTAGAGAGGACTATTATTCTGTTCTTAATATAAAATCTACACACTTTTGCATTGACAAAACAATGATTTTTAATATATTTAAACTTCAATATAGCATAAAAATTAACATGATAAAATCTAAATTTTATAATCGCCATAACTAATATTCAGCTTACTTTTAGGTACCCCAAATAATTTTTATACCTGAGTGCTTATATCAGCGAGCCACTGTAATTTATTGGCGTCTTCCTTCAATATAAGAGTTTTCATCAATTCACCCTTCCACGGAGTACTCCTGTATTGTTTGCAACAATGTTCGAATTCTGTAAGTGCACCCTCAATATCATCATTCAACAAATGAACTTTAATGCTCGGCCCTAAAATAACATTAGTGGGTTCAATGTAATTGTTATCGAGTAGAGTTTTCGTCATTAGCTTCACCTGAAACAATGAAAGTATAGTTTTAGAGACATAAGACATAATGAGTAATAATATATAACAAATAGTAGATACAAACTTTTTCTACATCCTTTTGCTCCGCCAAATTATTCAACATCTGCCAGATTTTGGATTTTACCATGAATGCTATGGTCTCTGGATTTTCAGAACCTTTATTATCATTCAGAAATTGGAAAGCCTCATCGAATCTGTTCGCTCTTACTAAAGCGTTCGCCATCAGTACCAATTTATATTTGTTCAATTGAAATTCCTTATCTTTAGCTGCAATTTGTGATTTAACTTCCATGGCTTTTTCGATCATATCATTGTCGCAGTAAAATTCAAATAATTGTGCCAAAGTCGACAAATTTATTTCGAAATCAGGTGAATTTTTCAAATCTTCAACTATACTAGTAACTTTTTCGACGTTATTTTCTTTTATGTACTCTGTGATAACTTGTTTTTGTAACCGATTGACGTTTTTCCCCTCCTTAGATTTTAATTGTTCCAATAACTGCTCCAACTGAGCAGCACTACGCGGTGCTTGATTGCGTTTGACAACTTCTAAAGGTGCTAATTCCAGACTCGAAGACGTTAGTTTTGAGAGCAATTCAGATATGTTAGTTGTCATCTTATCACCAAGAAATCTCTGGATTTCTTCAGCTGACGCCGTATCAATCCTAAGACCTTTGGACAAGGCTTGGCTTAAAATATCCTCTGTCAAATCATTTCTAGCCGTGTTTTTAACAGCTATTTTAAGAATGCGTCCGACTTCACTTATATTATTGTCTTCACTCGGCCTATCATCATTAGATACGTCTTCCTGTGTTTGAGGACTGCTAGCAACGTGTAGGAGCTTAACAAATGATTCCACATCTTTGGTTTTAACCAAACTATTGATAAGTGGACGTGTGATTTGCGAATATTGACCTCTTAGACGATACCTTAAAGCAATTTCAGCGGCTTTGTCTAGTTTCCCGGATTCTAGCAATTCGATTATAACCTGCCTTGCGCTATGAATAACAGGTACATTCGCTATTTGGAGTTTGACTATAACATTTTGGGGGGTATCATTTTCGATCAGATATGGTATAATGTAATCTCTTAAGGTCTCTCCGGAAACTGCAATGCCTTTGGAACCCATTTCACGTATTATGTGAAGAAGTCCTTCTTCATCATGTTCTTTACCCTTTTGTACTAAAAGTGGCCAATAGTAATGCGGTCTTATTTCAACGCCATCTTTTTCTATCTCGGCAAAGAGTCTCTGAGCCAATTCACATTTACCTTGTGTCAGTGAGGATTCAGTAGCTATGTATAAAGCATTAGGTATTAGTTCTTCATTCTGCAGCTCTCTACAAGTTTCAACTATTGAATCAACTGATCTGTTCAGTTTCAACAAATGTTTTATGTAGAAAGCTCCCTTAAAAAGTGTGTCATCTGTATTATTTGTCTTTGGCATAGTTTTCATAAGTTTTTTGGCTGTGCTGTCTAAGCCGCTATTCAGTAACTTGAAGATAAGGTTACAAACTTCCTGGTTGTAGCCCAGACCTTTGTGTGTGTATGGGAATATCTGATCAATTTTATCCTCATGACCACTGAGTGCTAGATGTTCTATTATATCTAACAAGTCCTGGAATAAAATTAAATTTTACGTTAATTATAAACTATTTGCAAAAACCTATAAAAAATAGAAAAACAATAATTTTTATTGATCATACTCTATCAGCTAATATTATTTCTTTATCCTTTGCAGTACTTATGATGTTTTCCACATTGGCAATATCACCCTGTTTGGCGTAACCACAAGCCAATAGAGCGTAGGTTCTGTTAGAAGGCTGAAGACCAGCTCCAGCCATGGTTTCCAATACCGCTTTAGCACCATCAGTGTCACCGTGGAAAGCATGACCCATGACCAAAGCGTTTAGAACCGGTTCTGAAACCGGCATGTTCAATTCTCTCATCTTTTCTAGAACTTTCGTAGCACCTTCCACATCGCCTTCTTGACAATAACGCCACATGAGTCTCTGATATGTAACCCTTTAAAAGAATTATATACTTATATAAATGTCATTGGTAAAATTAATAAATAATCATAAAATTGTACCACACCTATTTGGCTGTAGGCCTTTCTTTTCCATTTCATCTAGAAACTGTGCTGGTGAGAATGGGTGCTCATTTTCAATGTAAACACGTAGTAATGCGTTGTAATGTGATACATCCATGGGTATACCTCTCTCTGTTAGAACATTCCATATCTTTTGAACTAGGAGAGTCCTCTGCTGAGGTAGCTCTTCTGGCACAAGTTCTCCTAAAAAGTATAAATGATATAGGATCAGCCATGCCCTTATACTATTATCCTTGCTAATATTATAAATGCGAAAGTAACTCTGTCAATCTGTCTGTCTGTTACGCTTTCACACCTAAACCACTGAACTGATTTTAATGAAATTTGGTACGGAGATAGAGTTGACCTTGAGAAAGAACATAGGATAGTTTTTATCCCAGACTTTTGAAAGGTGCTCTTGGAAACGCGATATAACCGAACTCCACGCGGGCGAAGCTACGGGCGGAAAGCTAGTTAATAATAAAATTAAGTGAATTTTTATAATTCGCTTTAGAAAAGGTTATAGCAACTATTTACTTCACAAGAGTCATCTTATTGTCTAGTTGTGTAATAAAGAAAAATAATTTCCCATTTTCAATTACAATGACAATATAAAGTAAATATTTTATTGATTTTTAGGTACAGATATTAGTTTCTCAACAATATAATATTTTAACTCACCGCAGCATCTGATAACTAATAATGACTGTGAACTAGTTATATCTTGCTTGGCTCGTATTTCATCAAATACTTCATCGATATCCCTTTTTGTGATCCTTCCATATCTTCTCACTTCTGAGTCCAATCTCTGGAGCAATGGCTCAAGACTTTCACTCTTTTTGGTAGCATAATCTCTCAACAGGACACTAAATAACATAAAAATATATGAAAAAAATTTAATGATACTTTTGAAAGGATGGATGAAAAATATTACGAAATATTAATTTGTTGTAGACTTGATGATTTTCTTACTACACAATCTTTTGAGGTTAAAAACACTAAGCATTTTGACATAAAACTAAATTTTAAATATATGAGTGATGTATATTTCTTTAAATAAAATGGTTGAATACTTTGGAAATAGAAAATATTCTCATTTGTCTTAACCTAAGCTATTCATATGTATGTATGTTTACTGATATAAGCAAAAAGGAAAATATACATCAATCAATTTATAAACTCTTTCTCTATTTTATTTTTTGCTGACAATTAAATAGATGTCTGTCCATAAACTCGTTATAGGGAGCTTAAGTCAAAATTAAAATCATTTAAGACAGAATACACTTTTCTTAAAAGAAAAAAATCATGTAAAGATACATCAATCTCCTTTCAGATGTGACATTTAGTTTTTAAAATAAGCATATATATGTGTAGATGTAGAATACACTAAAATCTATTGGGTGCAAGTAGCTATGTGAATTTATATGTATATTGTCTTGCAAAGGTGGTACCAAAGATTATACAATTTAATAGCAAAATTGAAGTTTAAGCAGTTAAATGATTAGAATTTGAAAATAAACTATGTTTACTTACTTATTAGCCGCGCTTAAAGCTTTAGAATTAAGTAATAGGTTGCTTTCAGCTGTTTTTGCCGAGTTTAATAGTAATGTTCTTGCGGCTCCGGTGAAATATCTTACAAATTTGGTTGATCGTAAAAGAGACGACATTTTATTTTTAAAACTAGAACATTAAACTATTTAATAAGTTTATTTCAAATGTCTCGTCCCCAAATACTTTGAAACATTTACAGAGATCACAAATTAGAAGAGAACTTTTGAGGTTATCTATATCACGATTATGTCACTTTACAGCAAATGCTGCCAACTTAATGATTTAAATAATATTAACTTGGTACACGATGGGCGATCAGATTCAAAATTTTAAATTCAAAACAAAATATTTTTATGAACGACATATAGTTCATAATAATTATAAGAAAAATATTGCTCCATTATACAGGGTTATAATATCTCCGTATATTATATTTTTGTTTAATCAATTGATATCGGTATATAAAAGACGATTATTTTTTTATACATATCCATAAAATATATATAATTTTGTAAATTATTATAAAGAATATCATTTCTTGGCCAAATATACAAGTTTGAAGTTGTTTTTACATAGTACAAGTTTAACGTCTATTATATGACATGTTTTCTGAACCAACATAACGAACATAGTCCAGTCCTGAGTCCACGGAACTGGAAGTTACCTATATGATATTGATAATTTAGAAACGAGTAGAAGATACAAGACACCGGTGAAACTTTTCAAGAAATAGCAGACGAGTTGGCTATTTCAAGCCGATATACATAAGATCCGATTATATTTTATTAAAAGTTTATAAACAAACAACTTTTCTTAATATTTTTGCAAAATGGTAAGTTTTGAAACTATTTATCATTGACATTGACTTGACCTTTATTTTAATTCAGAAAAAAAGTATGATTAATTTATATTTAAATGAATTCGATTAATATACAACTGTCTTACTAATTTACACTAAACTACATTTTTATGTAAACGAAACTTCACCTACATAAATATAATTTGCACTTATAAATCCTTAGGATTTTCTTTAAACCGATCAATACCTTAAATAACCTTGACATTGGCATGTTATTGATTATAAAATTACTAAATATTTAATTTTATGAAGAACAGTAGTTTTGAACTTGATGAAATATATGTTTTATAGTATAATATTTAACCTATTTCAGGCTGCACCAATCAAAGTTGTTGTAACAGGGGCTGCTGGTCAGATCGCATACTCTTTACTATACCAAGTCGCTTCTGGAGCTGTTTTTGGTCCTGAACAACCTGTATTCCTTCACCTTCTTGATATTGCTCCCATGATGGGAGTTCTCGAAGGTGTTGTTATGGAACTTGCTGACTGCGCTCTGCCATTATTAGCTGGTGTTTTACCCACTGCCAACCCTGAAGAAGCATTTAAGGATGTAGCTGCTGCTTTTCTAGTTGGCGCTATGCCAAGAAGGGAAGGCATGGAAAGGAAAGACCTTCTTTCTGCTAATGTACGCATTTTCAAAGAACAAGGTCAAGCTTTGGATAAAGTTGCTCGAAAGGACGTCAAAGTTCTTGTTGTCGGCAACCCAGCTAATACTAATGCTTTGATCTGCTCTAAATATGCCCCGTCCATCCCAAAAGAGAATTTCACTGCTATGACTCGTCTCGATCAGAATCGTGCTCAATCTCAATTAGCAGCTAAGCTTGGTGTACCAGTACAAGATGTTAAGAATGTTATTATCTGGGGTAACCACTCATCAACCCAATTCCCTGATGCCTCAAACGCCAAAGTCAGGATTGGTGGTGTTGAAAAGTCTGTACCAGAAGCTATTAACAATGATGCTTTCTTAAAAACTGATTTCGTGTCCACTGTACAAAAACGAGGTGCGGCAGTTATAGCAGCTAGAAAGATGTCATCGGCTTTGTCAGCGGCAAAGGCAGCTTCTGATCACATGAGAGATTGGTTCTTGGGAACCGGCGATCGTTGGGTCAGTATGGGAGTGGTCTCTGATGGTTCTTACGGTGTTCCTAAAGACGTTGTATATTCCTTCCCCGTCACTGTCTCTAATGGAAAATGGAAAATTGTTGAAGGTTTAACAATCTCTGATTTCGCACGGGAAAAATTAGATATCACCGGCAAGGAATTAGTTGAAGAGAAACAGGATGCTTTGGATGTGTGCAAAGATTAAATATAATATAAAATAAGAGCAAATATGTATTTGTAGCTTTATATAGATACACTTACTTTTTGATGATATTATTGGCAATAAATTTGTTACTGTTATTCAAAATTTTTTAATCTATTTTTTATCTAACCTCAATACTTTTTATCCCACATAGTATTTTTTGTAACACTTCTTGCTTTGCATCTTTCTAGCACTAGAAGCATTGTGAAATCATTTTTTTATCTGAATAAATATTATTTCAAATAAAATCTATTTAATTTGTTATGTATTGATATCATTTGCTTAAGTGAAATAAGTTCATTAATTTTATGAGAAGATAAGAATCTACATCATTAAGTATTTTTGGATATGTCCATAAATTACATTTTATGTAAAATTTTGCCTTTCTGGTGATAACACAATTAAGCAACATTAACCAAAACAAAGGTGCCTTAAAATTATTAAGTAGTTGTATTATAAATAGTATATGCTGTTAATGTAAATATAATATAGATAAGTATTAGAAAAAACAATCTCATAAAATAAAATATCATTATTTCAAAAAAAGGTTATTTGCATTTATGTTTAATAAAAATTAATGACCTAACTGCATTTGAATAGTTTATTTTTTTCTTTCTAACACAAGTATAAATCGATATTTGTTATCAGTATGCTTCACAATACTATTACTAGGCCCTAAGATCTTGTACATATTACTCAACAGTTAATGGTAATACATACTCTTGAATTATTCATTTATCACTTAACGTAGCAATGTGAGTAATCCTCATGATAGGTTAATAACATATTTAGTATCTAAGTACTTCGAAAGGTCAGATAAGAACAGGTTTGATCTGGTGGCCACATCAGAAATGACTTGACAGGTATGTAACATCCATTTAAATAATTTTATAAGTAAAAACTCCACTAAAGAAATAAAGAACTAAACGTAGTTTAAAACTAAGCGCCATCTCAACAACACAGTCAAAATTTTTTACTTCTTTTTTTAAATAGTCACTAGATGGCTACACTTGTAACTAAAACTATTTAAAAAAAATATGAATGATTTTAAAAGAACCTGTCATTCAATAATAGAATTCCTTTTTCCAAACGGTTTATTTTACAATAATATATTATTTTATTTCGTTCAATAACCTAAAAGTACCTAATATAAAAAATATAACATTGTTCATTTAACCTTGAAAAATAACGATTTTTTATTAAGTAGAAAAAGGCACAGTGCTTATGCGATTACGATTAAATTCAGGAGTAGTGCTTAAGAGATTATGATAAATATAAATGAATAAAGTCGCTGATTAACATTATTTAGATTCTTGTAATATTCTTCTGGTGTAGTTGTAAATATAAAATGTAATGAATTAGTTTGAAAAGAAAATTTAAAACGTTTATAAAGGAAGAAATTATTTTGAACTTACTGTGTTTCATTTATAAATTTGTAAAATAACAATAATAATTCATAATATTATATACTATTTCTACTGAAAGTACCTAATTAATATATTGATTGAAGTAAACATAGGTTTGACCTTAATTAGATATTCTTTATCTAAAAAGATGAACCTGCTTTCTTTTTTAGTACTTATTAATTATTATGCTTATTAGTTATCACAAAAACTTTTAAATCACTTTGTTGATGAATTTCTGTAAATAAAAAATAATAAATTCTAAATAAAACTCTTGTATTTAATTTTATATTCTGATAAACATATTAACGTTAAAGTAAAATATGTTTATGTAAGATCGTATTGTGTAGAATTGTTTATAAAAATTATTAATATCATCAATATTAATTTGCCGTCATATATGTATCTTAAGGTTATCAGGTTCAAATATATTGTCAATGATGCTATTGTTTAAGTGTAACAATAAATAATAATACTATGAAAACTAAGGGTTACGTGTGTTATTGCCAAAGCTGTAAAAAAATTGTAATGCTAAAGAAATTGGGGTAAGTCCATGCAGTTTGACCTTCGGTAAATTCAGGTTTACATTGGATGATAACCTATACTTTATAAAAATAATTTATTACTTACATTTAATATTGTAATGGATGGGTAATTAATAACAATTATCAAAACGCATCAAATTATAATTATAAAAATCATGAAATTTTAAATATAATACATTTTGGTACGTATAAATGGATTAAATTATTAACATAAAATTAGGAACCCGTCATTAACCTTCTATATAAATATTTTTTTAATACCAATCTTATAAATTTCCCAGACGGAGCCAGGATTCGGCTCTGCTAATTTTATTTTTACAAAGTTAATTTCTTATATTAATTTCAAGAATTAGGTGCTTAATATCAAGGTTAATTAAGTAGAGGATACTATATTACATCTTGCTTTGGGAAATTTTTTACTCCAAAAAAAGTTATACTCAATTTTATTATCTATGTTTTAAAAATTTACTGACATAAGTCATGAATTTGCTCGTAAACTCCTCTGTTAGACTGTATTTTAATGCGAAATATGCAAAAAATCTGTGAATTATCGTAAATGCTAGTAAACAAATCATTTGAGTGCTGTAAGTATCATCAATCATTCCCAAATCCCTTAAAAGTATTTTGGAATCGGCGTACAAACAAAAATCAGTATCACAATTCATAGTAGGACGCACTTGATACAAAGCTAAACAGAATCCACTTAATGAATAACGTAAATAAGATAACGACATAAGAAATTTCATGAATGCTTCTATGTGAGATCCAAAACCTAGGCCGTAGCAACATAAAGCCAGAAGTGGAGCAACAGTCGCTGGTCCAACGATCGAACCGTTCTGAAATAAAACATTTTTTTAACATACGTATATTTTCTTAGTAAGTATATTCACATAATAGTCAATGATATGGCGCCACTTATTGTCTTGGTTTTTTCTCAATTAAAAAATATTCAATGGATAAATTAATTACGAGAAAAAACGTCTTGTTGTATTAATTGGTTGAATTCAACTTAACAATATAATTTTATATTACTATTAACAATGTTGAACTGAGATTACGTTGATTTTTTTATCCAATTTCTGAACTTTTTGTGTACTTATTTTGAAAATCGAATCAGAATTTTATTACTTACAGTTGCGTTAAACGTGGATCCGACCAGTAAGCCGAAGCCTTCAGAACATATTCCAGTTAAAAGCCCCGTGATTGTGAATAGCACGAAGCGCTTGAACTCCAAAATTTGTCCTGACATAGTGTAACAGATAGCTATAAATAAAGTACCCAGGAGTATCTGAAAATAAATATATTATGTTTATTTCTATCCAGAAATCTTGAACGTCTATGTCAGTGGAATAGTTACGTAACGAAATGCATATAAATATTACGCAATAATCTATACTATTTTATGAAATTATATTAAATTTTATATAATGTCTTATGAGGCGAGTAGTAACAAAATAGTTTTCATATAATTGATGTGAAAAATAGGTCAAGACAAGTAATCTAACATAAGACAATCTAAATTACATCCATTTAGTAACGTCAACCGCACACCATCTCCCCACACAATTTGCAACTGGTTTCAATTGTTGGCTTTATAATGCTTTCCTATGTTTGCAGAATGCATTAGTGTTGAACCAGTATGCAGATCTAACCTATGTGTAATCTATGTTTGATTTTGGTACTATCTAAGAACTCCTATTAAATATATGTTTAATGCTTTAATTCCTAACTTCAATTCAATAAGTATTGGACTAAGTAAAAACTTCTGACGTTTTTTGACAAGTCGAAAGAGAAAAAAATTGTCGTATAAAAGGCACATAGTGTATTTGGTTAAAGATATTTTTATATATTTTTATTAATTAGTCTTACTAGCAATGGCATTGTAGATAGTGTCAAAGCTGCGTAATAGGCTTTCAAGCTGTACCAACGGTTAAAGTACTCTCGACGAAGCGTCCTCAATTCCGTTGGAACTGTAAAGAAATAATACATAAACTAAAAATATTGTAATGATACAATAGAATACTATGTATATAATTGGGAAGCTGGCATTCTTAAATTGTAACCAATATAGTTTATAGTTTTTGAAAGAACGAGAAATGGAAAATCTCATTCATCTCTCATCAACTGAAGTTATATTATAAAAAGACTTTGCTCAAAAAATTTACATGTAGAATCGAAATGAGTGAAGGATTCTCTTTTTATAAAAGAACTGATGTTTTTTTTACTCACCCATTTATTTTTCAATAATATCTACTTGCATTTTTTTATATTTAAAATAAATCATTCACGATGCTTTCAATATTTTATACACATGCAACAAAATCTACTAATTATATGACCAAAAATATTTCGTCGTAAAAAATGTACTAAAATTTTTCACTTTCGTAAGTATAAATTGTCTTTTCTTTCTATTAAACTAAGGTTCTCTCAATGGAGTTAATATGGTAGCGTAGTCATAATATATTAAATATAATGTCCTAGAAAACTTACATAATAATATAGGAATCATAATATATGTGTACATGAAGAATACAACGCAGCTAAGACAGAATTTGAAATTGGCGATGGGCTGGTTTCCATCGTTTCCGATGAGGAAGAATATACCGCCCATCAGCAGAGCTCCAATAATATGATGGAACAGCTGTATCCATAGATTAAGCTGGAAATATGATTAGATTCATTAAAGTCTGGAAGAGATCGCTGTTTTAGCGATAAGGCCGCCTATTTGTACATTTTCCTTTCTTTGTTTTTCTCTTGTTATTTCTGTCTATATTGGTGTACATTAAAGAGTAAATAAATAAATAAATAAATAAAGTAACTAGGTTCTACGGTAATGTTTTAAGCAACCATTTTTCCTCATAAAAACCTAACAGTAGAATTAACTTTCAACCTTTTGGTAAATAAAGTTGTGATTTTTTAAATTTTAATGTATACTTCATTGTCATCGAATTACTTTAACGTATTTTTAAGTAAATTATATACTAGAAAAGTAATAATTTCATTAGATTTGATTGTATTTCAAGATACTACTAAAATCTCTTGCTCATAAAAATACAGTTATTATAATAACTATTAAGTATATAAATAAAAAAATAAGTTTAGTTACATAAGGGAAAAAATTTAAATATTTATAAATAATTCGTAATGTAAACGCAGCTATAATGGAGGAAGATTAATTTTTTTATGTCAATACTTTTCCTTTTATAACCATTTCATATCATTTAGTTGAAGTAAACTATGTACCTATTTTAAAAATGCTGACTTATTTTCAACTCACCGAATTCCTCCTCATCTGTAAAAACATTCTCTTAATTAAAATCAGAAATTGTGTCATGAATGATGTTGGAAAATTCATTTTCTGCAGTTGTTCTTTCGCCACGTGCTCTGTAAATATTCTTTGAATTGATTCATATGAATGTAACTCCCGTTTTCTGTAATATTAAAGCTAAATTAATTTTCCTTCACACAATGATATATTTATTATAATAATTATAGATTTATTACCTCCCATCTCTTATCATTTTGTTTATAGTCCTACAGAGTTTACCATTTTGGCATAATTCTGACATTTGTGCCGCTGTTTCCACATTTCCAACCAGAGTTTCCAGCACAAAATCCGCTGGATTATGCGTTTTTGGACAAACATGACCGACTTCAGCCAGATATGGCACTAGCAGGGGTGCTGCACCCTGAAAGAAATATATAAAATGTTTATTTTATTTAGATCAAACGTAATGATTAATTATTCTACTAATAATTCGGTATCGAAGTATATTTTTGGGTCAAGTTGAGTATGGCGATAATATTAATTAATTGAAACGAATATAGAAAAGTTTTTGCATTGAGATGCTGTTAACCCTGAGGCTTTGACAGTGTTACCGGTAGAATGGGAACTAAATTATATTTTATACAAAGTCAACAGACATTACCAATTATGGTGTGGAATTATTTTGTATTGTTCATTATTCTCATTTGTTGGGAAAAATACATAAAAAAAGATAATAAGAAACACATCAACATATACAATAATGATCTGCAAAAAAAGAAGAAAAAAATAGCTTATTCATTCTTTAAAAGAAAACATTTTGATTTTTATACACTTAATTTAAATAATACTATGTGAAACAAAAAAGCAGAGGTATAAATGTATACAAATAAGAATAATAAAACCGCGCATTTTTTTGCAACTTAATAATATAAATGACCATACTTATGGAAATGCTCTTTAACAAATAATGTATATCGCCAGTGATAAATATGAGAGCGCTAACAAATTATAGCTTCGAGTGAGCAAAAAAGTTTTACCATGATAAATTGCAAACGTTGAATTAAAGTTAAGTGCTAATCATACTAATACTGATGTTTAATTTTCATATCTCATAATATTTTGATGTTTACGAATAGCGGTAAATATTATTATCAATGAAAATATACAAATATATATGTTATTTTAGATGGAAAAATGTTAATTGTTACAGGAGAGTTACGATTTTGTATGAAAACGTTAAAGTAATTTAAAAAGTCTAAAAGAATTTTCGATTTTAATGAGACCTCTTTCTCCGAAGCGGTTCGAGGGAATATTTAATATGAATGCTTCTAAAATATTCCCCTTAATTTTTTAAATAAAGTTCCGCCACAGTCAAATCTAACATGAAAAGTAATTACGTAAAGTCTACAAGCATTGCGAGATTCATTTAAATTATTGTTTTTATTTAGGGATTGTTATTTATTTATAGATCGTGTATCGCAATTTGTGCTATCTAAATATTTCGCAAATTACTAATACATAAACATTGAAAACAAAAACAAGTACTACTGAAATATTTTATCATTGGTTAATAAACACATTTGAAAACTGTTATTTATAAAGGTAATTGTTTTTATGAACTTATTATGTTTATTAAGTCACTTTTTATTTCGCTATAAAAATGACTAAGTTTACTTTTTTGGACTCTTACGTCTAACATATCCTTGAAATTAAATCAATGCATATTTTATTTATAAGGTCATTTAGTTTACATTTAGATAATAATATTAGTTGGTACATAAATAGATTTCCATTTAATTTTTTAATCACTTAATATTCGTTCAGTCCAGTCTATTTGGATACAAATTCGTTATAAAATGAAGTACATATATAAAATAGTTGAATTTCAATGGATTGTGAATAAAAGCACAAGTAAGGAACACGTTGAACATTTTTTTGGGCACTCAACCATGTGTTTATGTTTAATAAAATCGACCGTGAAAAACCTAGCACAACTTTGTTGCATCCCTCGGGTAAAATATTTAGCGTACATGGCACAAAACATTTATGTATATTTATAATGATATAACTTTGTATGATGTATAATTTCAATAAAAAATGTAAGCCGCAGTGGGACGCCTGGCAGAAATAAAATAGAATATACACGTATTATAAAAAATATTGATATTAACTAAAACCTTGTTACTTTAAACGTAGTGAACAACACTATTTACTCCATATGTACACATAATACTTTGATTAGACATCAGCATTATTCTTTTAGATATTTTACTTTCCACGTATATAACAAAGTTTACAAAAATTATTAATATCATAGATCGATTTTGTGTGAGTCAGGAACAAGCCATCCCCAAAAAATATTCAAATATCTGACTTACAAATGAACGTGTTGAAGGGAAGCAATTTAATTTATAGCAGACATGTCTAGCATAAGCGAATTCAAATTTTATTGTTTCCTTGAATTATACGAGTAATCGTAAATACGTGATGCTGAACCCTTTACAGACGAAATTCATACAACGTGCCTCCGACACTGTATTTTATCGCATTAAAACATTACGCTTATAATTTTACTGAATACATTTAGCCGTTTATAAAAGTTAGATTTAAATCTATTCTCCGAACAAAACTTATAAAAATGTTAATAAAAATTCTCGAACAAGTTTAATTCATCGAAAACTACGTTTACTTGCAAAGTTGTGAAAGATTTACTCTTCTTGGGGCCCCGTGGACCAGCTAATAAAAGTCACCAACGAGATATACTGCTATGAAAAAAATACGAAAATTTTGCAAGAAGAAACTACTTACGTTTATGGCTTGTGTGTTTTATATCCATCATATATATACTGTCTATGGAGAGCAAATTTTAATTTCACTAAGTGTTTTTTTTTTGCTAAAAAACACTATCAGGTTTAAAAAAGATATATTCTGTTTATAATGGACTACTTATATTGAGAGCGGCTTCACTAGTTTCTATTTAGGGATTAATTTAGGATGATCAATCCAGAGTTAATCTTTTGGACTTGATAAGTTTATCTCAAAATACATAGAGGATTTTCAAACAAAACGATAAATCCTTAATCAATGTTTTGTTATTAGAAAGTTTCCGATACTTTTTAAAGTACAGTTGCTTGGAATAAACAAAAAATATTTTTAAACTGGTTTGAAATTTTATACACATATAATAATGTTTAAACGAAATCGTGATTGCCTCTAAGAGATACGTTAGCCTTCAGTTCTTATTCCTGCCCAGAAAAACTACTGTTTACAAGGTGGTGTCGACAATATTAATAATTATAAGCAATTTAAATATAAAATACATTTTAAGCTCACATCGAATAGTCTAGAAGACACTACATAGTGTGTTGAATAAATAACATAAATTGTTCTTCTTTTATTTTTAAATATGAATTGAATCAAGAACTGAAACAATTGTTCTTTTAAAACAAAAGTTTTAAACGATATGTATTTTGATTCCATAAAAGTCTGAATACGCAAATACCTTCTTAAATAAGGCTGATAATAGCAGTTTAAACTAAAAACAATATATCTGTAGATTGCTGATAATATTCTAGATAATGCTAACAATATGACAGCTGACAGCTGATATTAATAACAAGTAATTATTATTTATTCATTTTAACTAACGAAGTATAATGAATAAGATATGATTAAACCAGTAGCATTAACTACTACAAACTATATAATCTATAATGTACATATATAGTACATCGGTGCATTTACACATTTGCGTATACTCATCTAAATAACATACGCTTTAAAGTTAAATGTAGATGAGTTACTATGAGTTACTCAGCAAAACCGTAAGTTGTCACTAGTATGTACATAAAATTTCAATTATTTATGATAATCTGGGAATAAGTTTTCGTTGAATAAATAATTTGATGTGGGTTGAGAAGTTTGAGTTTAGATTGGCGTTCGGATTACCTTTATCAAGTTCAATAAATTAACTGGAAGACAATTAAACTTCGTTTGAGGGCGGAATACACTTTATTGCTTTCTTGATGACTCCACTAAGATTCTTTAGAGAAAAATTTTGATGCGATTTATCTGCTCCTACGAAACTGAATATCATTTTCATTACTAGTGGAATAATTATATTTAAATGAGTAATAAAGATTTAAAGATAAAGAGATTATAATTAGTTTTTGTTCTTGTTTGTCACTTTAATAAAACATTTTAATATTTTGATTAAGTCTTAAGTTTTATTTTAATTTCAATTTCAATTTTTTTTTTTTTTTTTTTTTTTTTTTTTTTTTTATGTCAAAGGTGGCAAACGAGCAGACGGCCCACTTGATGGGAGGTGGTTACCGTCGCCCATGGACATCCGCAACAAAGATGTTGCGGATGCGTTGCCAACCTTGTTTTATAGGGATAGGGAGGGGTGGGAATAAGGATATTGTAGGAAAGGGTGGGAATAGGGAAAGGGCAACCGGCTCTCTCACTCATCGGACGAAACGCAGCCATTAAAGGCTACTTCACGCCGATCTTCTGTGAGAGGGTGGTACTTCCCCGGTCGAGCCAGCCCGTGTTCGAGCTGCAGTAACTAACCACAGCTAGGCTCTACCACCTAAAAAAATTTTAACCAATTAAACAAAGTCTATAAATAAATTGAAATAATTTATTTTTTATGTCACTTTAAGTCGTCTCAACTGTTCATTGTGAAATTTGGTTGTCTCTATTAATTGTTTTCGCACTATATTTTTCAAATATACATTGCATCAAATCCTTAGCAGGTCCAGAGCTAACGGTTGCTTTGAAGTTTGAACTTGTTACTGAGTAAACACAATCAAATACGGTCCATAAGGTCGTTCATTTTGGCCTTCCTAAGTAAATCAATGCCTACTGCATCTCTTTGGATATGGTGATTAAATTGATAGCTATCTTAGAAATATTGATTTGAGGTGGGCTTTGAAAGTATAATAATGGTTTCTTTTAAATTTGTGACGAGAAATTAAAAGTTTCTTGAGTGTTAAAGTTTTAAAACACACGACGCACGAACAATTTCCCGTTTCTTATTCAATAGCCAAAGTCAATTCTATAACGTGCGAAGATTATAGAGTAAAAAACTGCATATGTTCCGGAGTAGTATAACGATGCAGTCCTGCGCTAAGCATACAGAATGCTAGTTCGTGAATTCACGACTAAGATAGAAAATTATGTAACATATTTTAATAGTTATATAGTTATAATTTAATATCATAAGTACAGATACGTGCTTTGAGTACATTAAATTAGCACGTACAGAGTTAAAAGCTAATCTTTTTATTAAGCTGATATAATCTCTTGAAGGATGTTTACTATTTAAAAAATATTTAATCTTAATGACAGCCATTTATTTATAACTAGCTTTCCGCCCGCAGCTTCGCCCGCGTGGAGTTCGGTTATATCGCGTTTCCAAGAGAACGTTTCAAAAGTCTGGGATAAAAACTATCCTATGTTCTTTCTCAAGGTCAACTCTATCTCAGTACCAAATTTCATTAAAATCAGTTCAGTGGTTTAGGCGTGAAAGAGTAACAGACAGACAGACAGACAGACAGACAGACAGACAGAGTTACTTTCGCATTTATATTAGTAGGGATAATATCAAAATATAATTGTGATTTTAAAAGTATAAAATCTTGCATTGTTATTTGAATATCTGTAGTGGTATATTACTAAGGATTTCGACTTAAATAACCTAAGTCGGTCTTTTTGTGTTCATTTTCGTTTGTGCTAAAATTGTAATGAAAAGATATTACTTCAAGTCCGCATTTAGAAATTGAATCCAATATCGACGTCTAAAAGAGGCAATTAATATCAATTATCTAGGGTAATTAGGAATAATTCCCCGGGTTTATCCTCGAATAATGTAATTAGTGAATTCAGTTGGCAACCCTGACACTGGCTCTCTGTAAGTAGATTTAGGTTGTTTACAATAATAAATTTATGATTTACTTTAAAATGTTTAATACGAAGAGTAAGTGTTAAACTTTAGCATTAAATATGGGGTTAATTGATTTGAAAATATGGCAAGTTAGTTACCTGATAACAGCAGAGTCCTCGTGATAAAACGTAGACTCGATCGAATAGTGAAAACAGTGATGCTGATGGTTGATGTATCGTACAAATGATAGTTCGGCCTTGACGTGACAGGAGACGAAGCAGGACTACCAATTGACGTATAGATACTATATCTAGACCACTGAAATATGTTCAAACATTTTAGGCATACAACATTAATAACTCGTTAGTTAAAATTACCAACTGGTTTTATCATACGGAAAGTTTCCTTGACAACTTGATCCTGACATGAACTTGAGATAAATTGAGACGTCATTTTTTGTGCTCACACCGATTACTTGAAATGTAATTATGGAAATATTCTAAATTATTAAAATCAACTAAGCATAAGAAAGCCAGGAAATTCAGTTCCCGGAAAGTTATAACGAACGTTTGTTGTAACTGTTTACTTGCGGAGAGTTTGTTTAGAATTTTGTCGAGTGTGGTTAAAGCATTTTGCCACTAGGTTGAAGGAAATTTTAGCTCCTAAACTATAATTACGTACGAAACTTTATTCAGGAAATGTAAGTTCGACTGTAGAATATTTAATAAGGTAAGTGTAGTTCCGGTGTGCTTCGAGAACACTGAAATGATAACTTAAAATAATAAAAGTTGTTTGAGATCGTTATGCTAAAATCTGGATTTGCATTGTGAAATATAGAACGCTTTCGGTAATATTTACAACAGCAATAACTATAAGGAAATTCACAAATAGCTTCTTACTCGTTTATTCATTTTATTCGTATAATAAAAATATAAGACTCCTTAATCTATTTACATGCAAAGTATATTTTGTACTAACGACGACAAAGAACATTATAACTAAAAACTAATTAGAATATTATATCCATCATAATTGACTTTTCCATATGACGTAAAAATCTGGGGGAAAAAGGTTTAATTATTTCATATTATGTTGCAATCATCCTCTGAGCTCGGACGGCGATCGAATAGATTGCTGTTTAACTAACATAAATTAATCTGATGAGTTTCGTGTTACAGAAATAGCTTCTCCAAGGAATTGAACATGTTTCAATTTTCCAAACACGGTTTGGGTTTATGACCAATAAAACCTTACGACGAATGTGATTAAGCGAATTGCTTTTCATTGTATCGAAGCTATTTTGTGTAATTGTACGTTACGACTCGGTTGGGCATTGATTTTCCTTTTTCTATATGTAATTGTATGTATTTAAATAAAACGAAATGATAAAATATTGAAACTGGGCCACGAGAATCTTTTCATTAATATTATAAACACGAAATTTGTGCTGAAATAAGTCACGAGGCCTCTTTAGTTTTCTTTTGGGCTCTTTGAAACGTAGTGCTGTATGTTAAACATTAAACATAATTTAAGGAAGCCGTAAATAAAAGCTACTAATAAATAAACTGAAACTTAAGTATTAACAATAAGGTTGTTTTTGAACTATTAGTGTAATCACGTGAAAATTCCGAGACGTATAGAAAAGAAAATTACAAGGTTAAGAACAAATTATGCATTCGCTTGCCTTGGATTAAATTAATGCATTCTTTTAAGAAATGTGTCACTGTTTCTAGTATGGTAATGGAATGAATGTAAATTTAAAAACTTAAGCATTTTACTATACCATATCTTACTTGTTATATAATGATCAGAATATTAAAATGAAATTATTTGCTTTACTTTTATTTAATAGAATTACGATTTATGAAAGAAATATAAGATGTAAGATTTCTTTTCAACAAAAGTGTTTAATTGTATTACTTACGTTGTAGGTTCATCGAGGAATATAATCGGTGGATTGTTGACCAGTTCTAAGGCGATTGAGAGTCGTTTTGATTGTCCACCAGAGAGACTTTGTGACATAGTGTCTCTATGATCCCATAGTCCCAAAGTTTGTAGAATTTCTTCCACCTTTGAAAAAAATATTTAAAAGAATTTATTGTATATTGATGAATTGTAGTAAGGCCTATCGAGTGTGGTTAAAATAATTTTTATAGTTCCCTTTAGAATCTAAAAAATAATCCCATTATTCAGTTTTACACCGCTAAAAGTTATAATGCGTTACTTTTGTATGAGAAAATTATAAATATATTCTGCATGGCTGGCTTGTACTATTCCGTTCAGTATATTTCCGTATACGGTGTGGTTCATATGTCACTAAAATGGTTTTGTTTACAATAACTGGTAGCTTGACGCATGCTGTTACGTCATATCACCAATACCTGTACTGCGAGTTTGTATCGCAAACTTAAACACAGACAGTCACAGTTTCTTACTTAAAAAATAATTGTTTAAAACTTTAATTTCTTTGCAACAACCGCAAATACGGAAGAGTATAGGGAACTGTCAGTGTCGTCTTATTATTTTTTCATCTACCGCACACGATTTCTGCGTATTTTCGTGTAGAAGGCTGTGTGGTCACAGATACAGAATTCAATATTTTTGATGAGTGCATCCTAGATGATAAGAAAAAAGCCTGAATCGTATCAAAAATATATACGTAATATTATATGAATAAATATATCAAATATAAGTTTTGATATTAATTGGCGTATAGACCAATAGCTTTTTCATTTACTTAATTGACATTTATTATGATACATTTTAATTTATATAGAAAATTTACTTTAACAGGTATAATTTTAGAAGCATATTCAACATAGTCGAGACAGTTGGATTTTAGTTGTTAATTAAGCAAGATAAGGATTTATTCTATGTTTTTAAATTGATGATACTGTTTAATGTTGACAATAAAACCTCGTACTCAGACTAAAAGAAGACAAATGTCTTAATATTGTGCAATAAAATTAGGAATATTTGTAGAGACAGATAATATTTGTTTTTTAATAGTAAGTATTTGTCAATTTTTTCGTTACTGTAAAACCTACGAATGTTTTGTACTGTTTTATATAATTAAATTTATCAATTCAATTTATAATACATGTACTTAAAAAAAATTACCAAATAAAGGGAAAAAAAATGAAATAGATTTTCAATAAACACCAAAACCATTACTGATCTTTCATTAAATTGGAAAAATAATGGCATTAGCTGTCGAATGCATAGGAAAACAACGAGAGATAGCAAAACATTATGCTTTCAATGGAAAAGACCATTAATAATTTCATGATTTTTTTAAATATAAAAAGTGTTTTTAAATAAATTCTAACATATTCATAACATTCTGCAAAAAGTTTTTTTTTTATTACATTTTTGTGAGTTCAAAACCCGCTATTGATATGAGGTCAATGACATGGGTGGATTTTAATGAGTTCGGTGCACTCACACCACGAATACAATCCTAACCTCTGACAATTTGTCAAGAATTATCCGATTGTTTGAAAAGAGTTAACATGAAAATATAAAAAAAATATAGAAACAAAAAACATTAACCTTTGCAGACGAGTCAAAAAAGGATGTTCTTTGAAACGAAAGTTACTTGCAGAAGATGGGTAAATGAATAACTATAGAAATAACCATAATTTTGTTCATTGCCCTTTAACAAACTCATTCTTTTTGGTATTGGTAGTTGTTTTATACAATTAAATTTGTTAATTAAAACATTTTTGAGTTATGACGCTTACCACGAGTTCCTTTTCAGCTTTTCCTAGTTCTGAACCCAATTTAAGGTCCGCAGCTATCTTCAATGATTCACTGACTGTCAGCCTTGGCTGCAATATGTCATCCTGCATGATGTAGCTGCTCAGTTTTTTGAACACCCTCATATCCCTTGCTTGACCGTTCACGGTTATTCTACCATTGACACCGGTCGATCTGCGAATGTAAAAAAAAATATTGCATTGTATTTCAGTATTGTCAGTCATTAAGTCTGGTTTAAAACGAGATTTAAGTACTCGCTAAGTATCTTTAACTTTTTCATCCTTGTAACTGCAATCAATGTAATAATACGTTTTGTTAAAATTATACATTTAAATAAAAAAGAAGATATCTTTCATAAGAACACAAGAACCTCCATTGATAATTAATGTTATTTTTATTTGCTACATAAGGTAGGTATAAATTTGTATGTACGTACGTATACCCAGCGAGGATATTCAATAAAGTGGATTTCCCAGCTCCTGAGGGTCCGAGTATGCAAGTTAACTCCCCAGACCGAAATTCACCTGATACGTTGTGAAGAATTGTCCTCTCACCTGTAACATGAATTGTTCTTGTATTTGGCTATAAAAATAAACATTTTCTTAAGGAAATAATGACATACATTTCTGGAATAGTTATTTTTATTATTATTTACAGTAATATAAATTCATTTATTTTCATAGATAAGTCGAAAACATGATGTTTTTATCTTTATTTCTTTTTTAAAACGACGAAGTATATAGAGTTTACTAGTTTTAATACGGGATCCTGTAGCTGATCCCGGGGGATTCTTATGGAGCCAGTGAAATATGAGCATACGAGAGCAAACATTAAAAATTATTACATTCGCGAAACGTGTTCGTAAATAAATTGATAATAACAATTAACTGTTTCGATTTAATAAACTACCTGACAAATGATTGTTTTTAAACGTAATCTTAGATAATTACAGTAAATAATAGTTGAAGATTTTATTATATTATATTGTTAGAATGTCATATGAGATACGCAATTCACAATAGAGTCGTGATGTAAAATAATGTCCTTTACAACATGTCAAAACAAGACATGACTTCTTGAATCATGGCTATTATGTTTAACATCTCGTTAAATTATAACCATACAAAGGTGTCATTGATATACAATAGAAAAAATATTAGTACAAAATCTGATTCGTTTTATGATTTAATATAACAATATTCATATATGCGTCTTAATTAAAATTTTCATATTAAATTCCATTTAAAGTTATATGAAAAATAACAAGAGTCAAAATTATCATCAAATAGGTTAATGTACAAAAATATTTGTTTGAAGTTGCAGGATGTTACGTTTACGAGCCATTCTGTTCGCTCACCAATATACATTATTTAGAACAAATTGTAGTATTAAATTTTACTTTTATAGGACGGTCACGCAGAGTTTATTGATTTTTTATAGTTCTTTTTTATGTGTATACTACATTCAGTATGTCATAGAATATTTTTGAGAAATTTTTGTGTTTTAATATTTATTAAAACCTTTAAGATAAAAATTAATTTAAATACATCTTAAAAAATTATAATTTTTGAGCAATGAATCAACACTGATTTTTAATTTTATTGCTGAAATTATTTTCTTTTTTCATTACTTTCCTTTTTTTGTTTGATATTTTCACTTGTTATTTTTCTTTTTGGCTTTACAAAAAGGAAAATATATGTTTTTTTATTTGACGAAAAGGACGAAGTAGTAATTAAAAGTTAACTTTTCAATTAGCCTATTCCTGTACCCGTATGAATAGAATTTAATCATAGATATTCTGATATATGTAGTACAAATGCTTGCATATTTACATATTTACACATACTGCACACCTTGTTTCTAACAAAGGAATAACCTCAAAGAGATATTACGTAGCGTAGTTTTTAAAGTTGTTGTGTAGCCACATTCATTAAGACAGAAAATTCTGCGGTAAAACAACCACAGAGGTTATGCAACAGGAATTGGTTCGTATAAAACTTTAATTCTGAAATTTTCTTTTTTAATTCATATGAAACTTAGTTTTAACGTGTTATGCAAAAATAAGGTATTATAATATCTTTGATTTGTTCAAAACAGCAGGAAAATGATAAAAAATACATTGGAGAATTTATTAGTTACATGTTAAAGTAATATGTTTATTTTAATTCTATTCTAAAATTAATGTTTCTTACAATAAGATAACTATAAATTCCAATTAAACAAACATATCTATTTGCATTTTGTAATCATTTGTATATAAAATGTAGCTGTATATCTGCATATTATAATCGTCATAAATTACACAATGCTTATAAAATCATTCTCTGATTCTTTTATATATATATATATATATATATATATATATATATATATATATATATATATATATATATACATATATGTATATAGTAGTGGCCTAGTGGTTAAAAGGCCCGCATTTCATACATGATTGCGCGTGTTCGATCCTGGCAAGTAGCAATGTAATTTTTCCGAGTCATATGTACTTTCTGAGAGTATTTAGACATCACTGATTAATGCATTCCCAAAAAGGGTCGATGTCAGGCAGGCGCCCGGTCGTAAAAACAATTAGCCAAAACTATTCACAACATGTAAGGCAGAACCTGGCTAAAGCTGGGAAATTGCCAGGTACAAGAAAATATATATAAATGACATGGTTGTTAAAAATAATAAACGTTAAATATGATTCATTTAATAGCTATTAACCAGACTTGCAGTGTATAAATCAATTTTTTAATTACATTTCACCGCAATAATACATCGATGGACGTTTTTAGCTTCACAAAATAATTATTTCATGTAAATAATTATGGGAAGAAACTAAAACAAGAGGATTAATTTAATTAAATATATTATAGTAAATAAAATAGCAAAAGATTAGTTTTATATTGACTAATGTTTTTCTTATGTTAAATTTTAGAGTGTTTCAAGTTATCAAGCTTTTACAATTACAATTAAAGTAATACAAAGTAGTGGTTGCGTGACATGAAGTCTTTTGTATTTGCATTTGAATTATTATTAAGATTACAAGCTTAACTTCCACTATTATCGATCTATTAATTTACAAAGTAATGTCTGTTGTGATTCCTCTAATTGTTGTTATACCATTGTTACGGACGGTATTTGCTTTGTTAGTTAGTTTAGTTCCTTGTTTTATCGAAACAAATTTTCTATTAATAATTGTATGTAACTTTTTTATTAAATTATTTGTTAAATTGAATTACCTGTCTAAGTCGATGTTAATGGAATATAGTAAGCAGTTTTTTGTATATACGGTCAAGGGCAGATGGTTTTGCTCGACTAATGATTTCGACTGTCAAAGTTCAAGGAATACATGGTGATGTTAATCTTGTACCCGATCCATAAATAGATTGTAACGAGCACATCACGAGTATAGTATGCCTAGATTTTAATTGCGTTTTTGTTGAGGCATTTATGAGCCAAAATCCTTTGAATAACACAAGGTAAATAGATATAACTGTTAAAATTTCTATACAAATCACTTTTTTAATTTGTGAATATATGTTGTATTTTTGCTATTATCATTTAGGGCAAATAAGTCAAATCAATATCAATATTAAAAAAATACAGCTGTAATACTGAAAATACGACTTATTGTCTGAAAGAATTTCTTCTAGTATAAATTTACTTGAAATTTTATGATAAAATTAAATGAAATTACTGTGGCTTTACAAGGGTTATTAATAATAGTTTTCAATTTCATTTTCTTTACCGAGTAATAAAATACAAACCTTTTATATAATACTTACTAAAAAATGTAGCTGTTTTTAGAACCGAAGCGTATTTCTATCGGATAGCAGCAATCAAAATCAAATCAAATATCAATTAAATGAAAAAAATGAATATAAAAACAATACGTTTTTATAAAATCGTTTCGTCAAAAAATCTGGAACTCTGAGGAACGGGTTTGGCGTGCATATGTTAATGTAAAAAATTATCGAATCAAAAATATAAATGTAAGATTGCAAGCAGGTTTGCAACAAAACTCGATTCAGATTTTATTTTCAAGTTCATCTGTATTACGATATTTTGCCAATTTTATGGTCTTGATGAGATTTTGATTATTTATTGATACTTACCTTGTGTACTAAATAAGTTCAACCTCTAAAGGCTGATTAATTTTTTTTCTGTCTCATAACTTAAGTGATTCAAATTATTAAATGAAATCATATTATCATAATATTTATAAACAAAATTTTTATTCTTAATATCATGTGAGGAGATAAAGATCTAAATTAAGATATGGGTTTTTTATAATTTGTTAGACAGGAAGTATTTTTTACTTGTAAAGTATCAAGAAAATACTAATTTATGTAAATGAAAATTCATCATTACCAACCTAATGTTAGAAATAAAAAATAATAATGATAAAATAAAAGCTGGGAAATAAGTATGTTCAGTAAAAAAAATATAAAATATTGTCCACAGTCCAATTGTCTAAAATACCATAGTAATTAAAAATATTGCTCTTACAATTTTCTATTCTAGATGTCACGATATTTTGATATCAAAGATGAAATAATAATCTGATTTCTTTGAATGAATGAACTGTTTTATGTTTAATTATGAATATGGAAAAGGTTTAAACATAAAGGTCATCATCTTAAACGAATCTTGTCGGCAGTTATCTTCCGCATGCAAAAAAATATCAAAACTTGTTTATTTGATGCGTTCCGTAACGTTATAGACTTGTATAAACTTATAAATACACGTTTGAAAACTGAAATTCCAATTAATATGATAATTAATGTTTAAATGTTTTCTTAGTTGGGTATTGACTTGCTGAACTAGATCTCTTTAAAATATAAGTATGTCTGCGTTGTTATAAAATAGACACAAGACTTTGTTTTAAGATCTTATAACGAAACATGATATGTCTATATATATTTTAAACGTATCAATAAAATTAAATGAAATAAAAGGTGGAATCCAAATGACAAAAATAATAATTTATATTAAAAAAATATATTATCACTTTAAACTGCAGGTCATACATATACATGGACAAAATCTAAAATGAACTGTTAAAATAAAGGTTGAAGTACCCATGTTATGCTTAAAGTCATTGCCTTTATGTTTAGGCATTTAAAAGATGTTTTGCAGTTTATCAATGAAATGTCAAGGAACTCAAGTTGGCCTGTATATATTTTGTTTGAATTTAAATTAGAATAAAATTGTTAACTACAAGGTTTTGAGGTAAAACATTGGCTTTACTAACGTGAAAGTATTCCTGACTCTCACGTCATAAGGCGGAATTTCTAATCTAAAACTTTGCTTCAAATTTATTTCATAATAAAGACGAATAAAAGGTTTTAAACCTTCACTCAAAATGCTCAACTTTATTATGAACCTTTATTACAAAAGACCTTTGACGCGCTTTAAATTTTGAACATTATAAAAGCTTGAACAAATTTCATAACAAAATTATATTGTTTTGTCTAAAATCATGTATTATTAAGGAAATAAATTTATATTAAATAAAGTGTTATCGCAAAGTGGAATCCTTTCGTTTCGA